TCTTGTAGAAAAAAATTTAGAGTATTTCGCAGGGGAATTATTCCCAGTGCTTGGAGAAGCAACTCTTAATCATTACAATCAGAAATCCTCAACACACTGGGACACCTAGTTGTACCAAGTGAACTGACCGGCTCATTCCTCACCTCACATAGTCCCCAGTTTCCTGGCCCCACTCCTGGTACACAGACACTCCACTCCTCTCTCTATAATGCTCTCTCTCTCTCTCTCTCTCTCTCTCTCTCTCTCTCTCTCTCTCTCTCTCCCTCCTGCCTCCCACCCTCCCTCTTAAGCTTGCACCTACAAACCTGTAATATCCTCAGCAAAATATTAGCAAATAAGATCACAAAATAAAAAACAGATACACTGTGACCAAGTGGGACATACTGGGAAATTAAAACTGCAATCAATGGCAATGTAGTGTATTAACAAGCCTAAGGAAGACACAACATAACTTTAGTATCAATTGATGTAGAAAGAACACATGACAACATAAAACATCTATTCATAATAAAAACTCAATACATGTATATACAAGAATGTCTTCCACTTGTAAGGGGTTTCTACAAAAAGCCTACCAACTCTGTGAGTGTGTGTGTGTGTGTGTGTGTGTGTGTGTGTGTGTGTGTGTGTGTGGTAAGATAGTCATATGGCATAAAGTTGTTAAAATTGATAGGATGGTTCATATTTTATAAAACTGAAATAAAGCTTTTTGTACTGGATAGATGGGGTGGATCAGACATTTGCATATAATTACAATGGTCTCCTCTTTCTCCCAAAGATGCTCTGATAGTATCTTCTAGCAATCATAATTTTTAGTTAAAAAGGGGTGTCAAGTTCCAAAGTTCAGTCTGTTCCACTTTTAAAAATCTTTTCTCTAGTTACAAAATAAAATCGTCTCATTTCAATGGCATTGCTTTAAATGTAGTCCCACGAAGAAAAGTAAAGTTATGGAAAGTCTCTCCAGAACGTTCCTTATTTATATCACATTCAAAGTCATCCTGTAACTTATTGAGTACACTGGAAAGATAACATAGTTATGTTACTTGCTTGTGGAAAAGACCATGCATTGGACATGTGTCTTCTTCATTAGAAGGGGTGTCAATGAAAAAGCTGCATTTACTTCAATCAAAGAATTTTATATTTGTTTGTGTGCAAAGTTTGGGAGGTAGAAGCTCAATTAATCTCGTCAGGCTGTGTTAATGCCATTTACAGCAATTACAACATTGCCATTAGAACACAAAACTTTCCAAACCAACGACAAGAAAAGGAATACTTTCATTTTCATATCTCTTATTTTAAAAAAACTAAGGTACTTTTATATTTTCTTGTAGAATCTAAGCTTAATCAAAGTCAAAATTCTAAGAACAATATAAAGGAGTATAATTGATTCAATTCAGTCGCTCTGAAAATTTCAGTGTTGGCGTCCTAATCCTCAGTAACAGCCCTAGCTGCCCTGGAACTCACTCTGTAGCCCAGGCTTGCCCCAAACTCACAGAGATCCGCCTGCCTCTGCCTCCTGAGTGCTGGGATTAAAGGCGTGCCCCACCACCAGCCGGCTAATCCTCAGTATCTTCAAGTGTGATAGTGGAGACGCGGTATGTCTTGTTTTGTTTTAGGTATGATTTCAATATGCAGCCCAGCCTACTCAGAATCCACCTGATGATATAAAATGTATATGCCATATATGTGCCCTCTCTCATAACCTCGAGTGAGATGGGGCCTTTAAAAAGTAGGTTTCTATTGCTGTGAAGAGACACCATGACCACAGCTACTCTTATAAAGGAAAACATTTAACTGGGGCTGGCTTACACTTTTTTTTTGTTTGTTTGTTTGGTTTGGTCTTTTGAAACAGGATTTGTCTGTGTAGCTTTGTAGAGCAGGTTCGCCTTGAACTCACAGAGATCCACCAGCCTCTGCCTCCCAAGTGCTGGGATTAAAATCATGCACCACCACCGCCACCACTGCCTGGCTGGTTTACCGTCATTGGTTTAGTTCATAAGCTTACAGAGGCCAATTAAATTCAAACTTCAACAATAAGGTTATACAGGTACACCCTAATTAAATATGACTGGGGAGGGGTTGGATTTAGCTCAGTGGTGGAGCACTTGCCTAGCAAGCTCCTGGGTTTGATCCTCAGCTCCAAAAAGAAAAAAATATGACTGGGCTTCAGATAAAGAGGAAATTTGAAGACAGGCATGAAGAAAGACAAAGTGTAGCCACAATGAGAAAATGACCTGTGTTTTGTTTATGGCAGCCATCACAATGGAATACAAGGAATTTTTCACGTTATCTTCAGTGAGGATAAAAAAAAATGCTTAAAGTATGCTAGACACGATGGAGAAGACAGACATTTAAATATCTGTTTCATTTCTTAGCATACTCAAGTTAAGCATACTCTTGTAATCCCAGAACATGGGACATGAAGGCAGGAGAATCAGGAGTTCAAGGTCATCCTTAACAATACAGTGACTGAAGGCCTGTCAGACTGCAAAGACTTGGTAAAAACAAAACAAAAATTAAAAAGCAACGTTCACGTCAGGTATAGTGGCACACTCCTTTAATCTTAGCACTCAGGAGGCTGTGGGAAGCTGTCTTTTCAGGGCTGCAGTTGGAGCCAGCTGACCTGCCCATGGTTGGTACCGGAAATGGGGAGTGCAGATTGAGAAAGGCTAGCTAAAGACATTAAGAGAAAGGATGGACACAGGATAGAGTTGGGAGGGCTAAATCCAATCCATACTGAACGCCCCGAGTTTATTCTTCAATATTCTCAAGTACCCAACCAAAAGTGGGGACAAAGGCGAAAGTCTTCTATTATCACGTATAAGAGGCAAACAGACTTACTTCCCTTAATCTTCCAGGCATTTGGTAGCCACACCTGCCATCCTGCCTTCAGGGTCAAGAGTACACACACCTGAACCCAAGTCTGTTGTTACTTAGATAAGACATCCGATACCAAGGCTGAAACGTCCTGCAGCAGCCAAGCTTTAGACTTAAAGGACAGTTTTGAACTCTCTGATCTTGAGGTAAGATGAAATGGATCCCTCTTTATGGGCCCTGACAGGAGGCAGAGGGGCACTGATCGCTATGAGTTCAAGGTCAGCCTGATCTACAGAATTAAGACGGTTGAAGACTGCATTTATAATAAACAGATAAAACTAATAGTATATATTTTTGTGACTTTATTAAACAGAAAAGAAATTTGAGTTTTTATTTCATATGTCTAAAATAAATTCACAATGTCTGCTTGAACTATATTCAAGAGGTAAATGTTTACTTTCAGGGAAGGTATTAATGGAAAGTAATTTTTCTAGCTCAGTTGCACGGGAATCATGGGACATGCAGAAATCAGTTTTGAAACCGATACTACATTTAACTGGAATGCCCCAATAATCCCAAAATGGGTGATCATTATCTGCTGAAAACTCATAACCAGAAACGAGGGAACTGCTGTCTAGAGTTGAACAGAAAACAGAGTCATAACACCAATGGGGCGAACATCCTTATCTGTTACACACAGACAGTCACTGTTTCACAAAACAGGATTTCTCTTGCACTTGTAATTATTTTGAGTACTATCAGAAAATTTCTTTCTATTAAAAAGTTTTAAAAGTTGAACAATTTCTTCCACTTTAAAATTATACAGGCAATTCCTTAAAAGAAAGAAATGTTAATAAATCAGCGTTTTGCCTGGTCTTGGTGGGTCTGGTACAAACAGTATAATGTGCTCCTACCGCTCATCTGCATTACTCAGCTCTGTTACTGAATAATTGAAAGTTAGCCTCACATTTGAGCGCTTGCTACATTGTCTTCTCATACATTCTTAATATGGTATCACTATTAAGTTGATGATGTACCACCCTTAAGTTAGAAATAAATAATTAACCCGAGGTGCTGAGCACTGGTAATATGAGCCACCACTCTCTGTGCTTCCCTCAACACTGAGCTCAACCTCTCCTCACTTTGGCCAGTGGTCAGGATTAGCTTATCCTCTGATGAACATTCAATAAGTGTTTTGATAAAGCTTCTTCTGGAAATGGATTAATTTTAATCAGAAAGGAACAAGGACAGATTTACAGACACATTTGTAGTGCATACTGAGAAATATCCCCAATATAGAGTTATTATTGAAAACTCCATGAAGCCTTCCCAGGCTGTTTATACATTATATGGTTCACAATTCCACAGACTGTATTTCTTAATTTAGGCAGCCACTTCATACAGCCTCTTCCGACTTCCACAGGCACCAGGCATAGACATGGTGCACACACATGCATGTAGACAAAACACCCTATATACATACAACGAATTAAGGTTTACTGAATACACACTGTAAGACAGTACTTATTGGGGTTGGAGCGATGGCTCAGTGGTTAAGAGCATTTGTTGCTCTTAAAGAGGACTGGAGCTCGATTCCTAGCATCCACACGGTGGCTCACAACCATTCACAAACCCAGTTCCTGAGGATCTGATGCCCTCTTCCGACTTCCACAGGCACCAGGCATAGACATGGTGCACACACATGCACGTGGACAAAACACCCTACATACATACAACGAATTAAGTATTTTTAAGGAAGAAAGCATGATAAGTGACACGTAGAAGTTTGGGTGAAGGACTGAGGTAGCGCTCTTGTTGAAATGATTAGCCGAGAGTGCACTTTCAGGAGGGAGGAAGAAACAGGAGTTCTTAGAGAGAAAGCATGCCATGGAGAGAGAACGCATGCCATGGAGAGAGAACGCATGCCATGGAGAGAGAACGCATGCCATGGGGTTACTATGTTCAGTACAGCTTAATGGAAAACTGGTTTCTGTAGGAGAAAGGGTAAAACCAGTTACTAAGTGGCAGCTGTACTTCTCAAGGGGGTGGCCACTTTGGTTTTCCTGTTGTATTGAGAGCAAGAGAGCAATGTTTCTGGAATGAGAACATCTACCAAAAAGAAAAAAGTGGAGGCTGGGGTTGCAAGTGCCCCAGAGCACACATGGAGGACGGGGACAACTTGCAGGAGTCAGCTGTTTCTTCCACCACGTGACCCGGAGATGGAACTTCATGGCAAGTTCCCAAACAGCCATGGGATGGCCAAACCAGTCATTCCAGTGAGGCCGAGGACGGACAAGGTCCACAGTGTCCCTGGATGTCTGTGTGAGATAGTCGTGACTAACTGGGCATTGGGAAATATGAAGCAGCTTACAGATAATAACATCAGAAAATCATTCGCTTTCCACGTAGGGTTCAGAAATGTAGTAGTAGTGGAACCTAATTTGTCGTAATGTGAACTAAATCACAGATGTGACATCCAATAAGTACAATTTTATTATGCCCCAAATCCTACTTACTTCCAGACACTTAGCCTTTGGTTAATGTATAAGCCGCAGAAACCTGTCTAGTCTCCATGCCATCCCCCTCTTTAAAAGAGAAGTAAGAATCTCACAACATGTTTTGAGTCAAAGTATTACATTAGAAAATAATCAGCTACTCAAAAATAGAGAACTGGATTAATTCATCTTGCAGTGAATTTCAGCAGAAATCAATAGCAAAATGTAGATGAGAATGCAAAAAGAAAGAAAAGGGGGCCTTAAACTAGAAATAACAAATGAGAAATCAATTCCTTCCTCTTATAAATGATGAGGCAGGAAAACCCCATGTTGGGAAAATGCCCAGAAATGAGAGTGCTAGAGAGCCATTCTTTCAAGCAGCACTAAATACACACATTTTATAGGGAAGGATCTTGAAGGATACAGAATTGTGATTCTATTTTCAAGTCACTAGAGTTGACCTACCAAACCAGAAATGTTCTGCCTTTCTCTTCAGTTGCGTTCCGTGTGTATTTACTCTGTCAGAAGGGTTCTGTGATAGTATCAGGTACAGGATGTGAGAGTCATAAATTCTGTTAGGAGCTCTATCCCCGAAGTTCTCAAACAAATTCATAGGATCTTCAGACTTGATTGGATAAAAATAGTGCACCATTGTTTTCAGTAACATTTAACTAAAATTTAGATCCTCCTTTAGGTACGAATATTAGCAAGTATGTTGGTCTCTTTGACTTTGCTACCAATAGAAACCACAGATATTTTCATAACACAGTGAAAGTGTTATAGACAATCTCAAAGTATTATTCTTGTCATTCAGTCAAACTCACTCTGTATTTAATCTTACCACTGTGTCTGCAGACACACTCAAACACTGTCCCTGGCTAACTAACCAGCAACGCAGGGCCACCAAATGGTGCTACTGCATAAACTGGTAATAAAATTTTAACTCAAACAGATTTGGGGGATTTGGGTATTTCCAAAGGACTAAATGTTTGTCTCTCCTGCCACCAAACCCTTATGCTGAAATTGTACTCCCTAAAGAGAGGCTATTAGGAGATGAGTAAGGCAGCATCATGAAGCAAACATAAAGGTGATTCCTGCCTTACAAAAAGACACAAGCCGGCCAGTGAGATGGCTCAGCTGGTAAAGCGCTGGCCATGTATAGTGGTTTGAGTAAGATTAACCCTGTAAGCTCATATATTTGAAAGCTTACACGCCAGGGAGTGGGAATATTTGAAAGAATTAGAACTATTAGAGGTGTGGCCTTGTTGGAGGAATCGAGTCAGTGGGGGGGTGGGCTTTCAGTTTTCAAAAACCCAAACCTGTCCTCCACTCCCACCAGACCCCCCTCTCCCCTCTGCTCTCTCTCTCAGCTACTGCTCCAGTGCCATGTGTGTGAGTGCTTATTGCCATACTCCCTGCCTAAGCCTCTAAAACTGTAAGCAAACCTCCAGTTAAATGTTTTCTTTCTTAAGAGTTGCCTTGGGCATGGTGTCTCTTCATAGCAACAGAACAGTAAGACACCATGCATGACTGATGACCTGAATTTGATATCCAGAGTTCACAGTGGGAGGAGAGAACTGACTCCCACAAGTTGACCTCTGAGCTCTGCATACTTGTACCTGCTCTCTCCCTCTCTCTCTCTCTCTCTCTCTCTCTCTCTCTCTCTCTCTCTCACACACACACACACACACACACACACACACACGCATACACACACACACACACACACACAATTTTTAAAGACACAAATGAGTTTTCTTTCCCACAATATGAATATATATCAGCATATCAGAAATGTATATCCTGATAAAAGATTCTTACTGTAGCACCTTGAACATTTGGCATCCTGATCTTGGAGTTCCAGCCTCTAAAAATAAATGATAAATGCTGTTTGTTTTAAACATCACTCAGCATGACTTAATTTCTTATGGCTTCCCAAACTGACTCAGCAAGATTATTTGAGAGAATTTATCCATTTCTTGTTCAGTAAGCTATGGAAACTTTAATTACATTTATGGTAATATATGTCTAAGGATCTAGATTACCAATCCTTAAAAACAAGTAAACAAATAAAAACTAGACATCCACTAAATGTCTTTCTTGATGTGCACATTGCCCTGTCAAATGTATTGCTCTTGTTCATGCTAAATGACAACAGCCTTCAGACAGATGAATTGCAGAAGATAAGCTTTTATAATGACTGGACATAAATTTAAATCTACTGGCATTTAGCATATTTTAAAGTCACATGCATTATTGTATTGAAGGAATATGGTTTTCTTTGTTATTGTTTTTTTGTTTTGTTTTTAGGCAGGGTCTCACTATGTAGCTCTGGCTGTCCTGGAACTCACTATGTAGACCAGGATGGCCTCGAACTCTCAGAGAGCTGCCTGCCTCTACCTCCCAAGCACTGGAATTAAAAGCATACACCATCAGGCCAGGCTCAAGCATCATTCTTAATGAGGACCACAGGCTTTAGCATACCACTAAATGGGCCCACTCTATAACAATGCTAAGAAACCTTGGTTTATAAATGCTTGTTATCTATGTAACCCTGATTTCTGGCCATTTTTGTATTCTCACTCAAATCATTCTATTATAAATTGATTTTCCTACTTTTATTACCTTTAATAAGGTATAGCCTATGTCATATGTCTAAAATTTACCATTTCTCATATATAATTCAATAATTTAAAAAAATTGCCATCAAATGCTACAAAGTATCAGCATAAGGGGCTTTGAGGCAATTTTCACCCCCCTTTGAGATCCCTCATACATATAACTAATTGTTAGGAATATAAAAATGTCATCCCACCTGTATATCCAACTGCTTAAAATTTTCCTGAGGGATTATTCTATAACACAAGACTTGCACCTACGTTCACACAGCATTTTTTCGTGACATTTGATGAACATGCTTCATGAGAAGATTCTTGTTCTAATGGATTCAGACAAGTGTCATCATAGATGTTAAAGCTAGTTTGTAAAGGTTGGTGGGCTAATGAAACAGTTACATAAACTCTAATTATCCTTCCAACAGGTATTACCGATAATGATAAGCAGTTAATAAAGACAGCACAGGTACCATCTTAACAAGTAATCAACATTCCTGTCCCTAATAATGGGCAAATCAACGGCATGTACCTCCAAATGCAGTTCACGCGCAACACAGCATCGCTCCTGTGGTGTAACCGGAAGCTATGCCCAAACTGCCAAACTGGAATCTGATCAGAAGCAAGAAGGAAAACCCTAATTTGAGGGACACACCATAAAATAATTGTCCTGTCCTCTTCCATGTCCGCTTTACAAAACATAAAGTCTCTTCTTATTATAAGAAAGCAAATAGGTTGGAAAAAATGATCTTGAATTTCTTTTGCTATATTTGCCCTTATCAAACATCAGTGATACCTGAAGAGAGGCTGACCTTTGTGTGGCAGTGCTGATCGCATCATTTTTGTAATTGCGATGATGTAGTTACAAAGGAAGCTAACCTTGATTTTAGGAACTATACACTGGGTTAGGTGGCAGGGAACAAAGCATCGTGTCTACAACTGACTCTTAAATGCTTCAAAAAATTGTGTGTGTGTGTGTGTGTGTGTGTGTGTGTGTGTGTGTGTGTACAGGTAAACACAGAAAGAAACAGGAAAATGAATCAACAGGACATAAAGAAAGAGACTAAAAACAACCAAATTTAATATTGAGAATCTGGGTAGAAGCTATTCTGAATTCTTTGTCCTGGTCTTAACATCTCATTAATACAAAATTGTGTTAAAAGGGAATACGGTGCTTAGTCTTAAATGTCATACCAAACACTGAAGATCCTCACACTCAAATTTATCCTCCACAGTCAGTTTTTAGCTACTGGTAAATATTCTATATAGATTTTTGCCATGTGTCTCGCTTCTTCCTTTCAGAATTTGTTTTTCCCTAGGGCAGATGATGCTCATTTTTAAACATATGGCGACTTTCACTTTCTGCCAATCAGTTACAAAAATACAACAAATTAGACCAGTCGTTGCAATATGCTAAAATAAGATATGGAAATGGAACAAAAAAGTATGAGTCATGGTATTTTTAGGAGTCAGCAGCTTTGGATGGTCACTGATTGAATTCATGACCTTGGGCAGGGGAAGGGAACACATTATTTGTTTTGCGTGCTATTTTCCTCAGAATCTGTTCCATGGAGCTTGTATTACAGTGTTGAAAGGATCAATTTGTGAGTGTGTATCTCTTTGGATCTCTGGGATTCAAGTAGTAAGGAAGTTACCTCAAATGAGCACCATTATAAATAGCACTCTTCTGCAAACCCCCTCCTGGGATTTTGCTTGCAGTTTTAGAGTTGCACATGCTTTTCACGAAGCTCAAAACAGGGCGAGCGTTGGCCTGCTGTGTTCTCTCTCTCTGTAGACAGTGCCAATGAATATCAGGAAAGGAAGTTCGATATTATGAAAGGGGTACGTTGAATCTCCAGCATTTTCCTGTTACATTTCTAGGCTGGAAACACCTATTTTTTCCTCCTTTTAAGCTTTTACCTTCTCTACCTTATCTTTGTCTGCCTGGCCTCTGGGATTTTCTGGGACTGTTGAGCAAGTTTCCTTCAGGAAACTGCTTCCCTCAGTGTGGTGATCTCTTGATTGTACAAATAAAGCCTTCCTGAAGATCAGAGAATGGAGCTTGCCACTAGCTAACCATAGAGGTCTGTGGCAAGCTCCATTCTCTGACTTTCAGACAGGCTTTATTTGTACAAGCAAGAGATCACCACACCTCAGCTTGATTCACAGGACTTAGTGGGAGCTGACCTCAGAGGGTGGGGTTCATGAAGTAAATATGAAAGCAGTCTGAGCAATACTTGTCAGGTCGACAGTGATTGACTCAGGAACGGGTGTGTAACACCAATGACCACAGTGCCTTTCACAACTCACAGTAAAATTACTGAGAAATGGGTGATTTCTTCCCACTAGGCTTGCTAATCCAGAAGAAGGCAAGCTTGGTTTTCCTATAGCTTTCTTGCTAGTCAAAGGAGAGAGCATTTTAACGTGTATTTCCATCCCAGATAAATGGCAGAACAGAGAAAAAAAAAAAAAGGAAGCAGTTTCCAAATAACCATTTAATCACCAAAATTGGGTATGCCTGCAGAGACATACCTGATACTTGTGAATGTAGTCTAGGTGAAAATGAAAGGTTTTGACTTTAACATAGTAAAACTATACAACAAAAACAGTTATCAAGGAAGAATAACATTTACAATATTCACTCCATTTGTATTTAGCAAGCTCAGAGAAAATACCCCATTATCTATCTTAGTGATTTTAAAGTTGTATCCCTAATTTACTTTCTATCATGAATAAGGAAAACTGTATTTCTAATAATTTAGTCTTTAACTCTATCAAAGACACACCCAGAATGAAGTAATGTTACCTAACCCCAGAGACATTTGTTTGTCTGGACAGTCCCCAAAGTTCCTCTGCAATGTTGGGGCATCCATTTTTGACCTACAGGCTTAAAATATCTGGCAGACTTGTCAGTAAAGCAGGAAATCTGAAGGACTCTTCTGATTTGTGTTGGCAAAGTCCAGCAGTCACTGTCCTATGGGGCCTGCATGTCCAGTTTGTGCAGCATGTTGTCAGCAGTCAAAGGCAAGAGCAGTTTCTT